GCATACATGAGGTAATTTGTGTGTATAATGCACGAACCAATGTCAAATAGGTAGGCATTGTAAAAAAGTGGACCTAAGTGAGAGCCCTGAGGAACACCTGTAGGTATGTTTATGTAGCTCGAACGGAAACCACCTATCACGACTGCTTGTGAGCGGTTTGTGAGATATGATTCAGTCCATCGGAGCAAGTCACCGTGAATCTCTAATATTTGTAATTTGTTGAGCAGGATCATGTGATCCACACGATCGAAAGCTTTTTCAAAATCAGTGTAGATCACATCAACCTGCCCACCTTGATCCATATTTTCAAGGACAAAAGAAGAAAAACTTGCCAGGTTCGTAGTGGTGGATCGCCTTTGTAAAAAACCATGTTGCTGCTCAGGGAAGGCACGTGAAAGCGTGGAGTAAATTACGTTATATACTACTCGTTCAAGGATTTTAGCCGCGGTGTTCAAGATAGAAATGCCTCTATAATTATTTATTTCTGTACGTGATCCCTTCTTGTGTACAGGGATTATGTGTGCACACTTCCATTGATGCGGAAATATCCCTTCACGTAGAGAGCGATTAAATATAATAGTCAAGGGGAGAGCAAGTGATTTAGCGCATCGTGACCAAAAAAAAGAAGGTAACCCATCACTACCGGCACCTTTGTTCGTGTCCAAAGTTTTCAACATTTTTTCAATTATTGCAGCGTTTGTCTGTACATTAGAAACGGTGTCAGTACACAACGATTCCGTATGTGGATATATGTAGTTATTACTAGGAATACCAAATACACTCTTGAAGAATGAGTTGAAAGCATTGCATATGTCTATACCATCGGTGTACTCTATATCTTTCAAAGACATTTTTTTAGGGTAACCTGACCCACCCCGAATGGCTTTGACGAAAGTCCAGAATGTTTTAGGATGTGTTTTGATGCTATTTTCACAACTTGACGTAAATTTATTAAAGCATTCTCTCTGAACACGGTGTTCTCTTGCTCGGAGTAACGAAAACTCATCGTAATCTAATCTATTCCTGAATTTTTTCCAACGTGTGTGAGCATTGTTTTTCTCCTTAATTATTTTTATTAAAGCAGGTGTGTACCATTTAGGATATGATCGCTTCCCTGTGTTATAACTAAAAGGCACATGTAAACGAATTAAGTAATTAATTAATTATATTTACAAGTCTTTACCAGATTATCCATAGCCAATATGTGTTCTTTTATTTCATTTTGGGCTGATTTATATTTATTGGACACAGTTTGAAGGGAGTTCATAAGTGACAATATTTCTGATTTAAGGCACTCTATTTCAGTCTCATAACATTTTTTTATGTTATCCACCTCAATTGAATACAACTTAAGTTCATATAACAATGCTTGCTTTTCTTTACATACATTAACATAATTTTTGGTATTAATCTTATTTCTTATTAATTTTTGTACTTTCCTTATGTATTTATTAACTTTTATATACTTCTTCAATTTGGTTTTACTGCAATTAATCCTTACTGTATTTCCTGAAGTGGAAGAGTCGTCACCAGTCAAGTCTATTGTTGCAGATTGCTGTAACATTCTTGAAGTATCACATATGCACAAGCTCAGAGAACAGGCTTTGAGTCTGGGAGGTTTTAAGGTTATCTATATATGTTTTAAATTGTGTTATTTGCTCATTAGCCTCATTCAACTGTAACTTCAATGCAGCAATTAACCTGAGAGCTTCCTCATATTCCTTGCTGCATTGATCAAACTCATTAACCGTTCCCTGTAGCTGATCGCTTTCTTTTATAACACTTGTGTATTCTGTATGTAGCTTAACCATATCACATTTGAATTGTGTATTTTTGGCAATTATGCTAACTATTTCCCTTTCATTATCATCCCTTTCCTTAAGCAACAGTTCACACTGCTCCATGGACGCCTTAAGTTCTTGGAGCGCAAGCTGGAGTTGGTTCTCCATCTGGCGCGTCTTGGCGTTGCGAGTATTCATTTTACTATTTATTATAAATAATAAAAGAAAACAAAGATCGAAAACAGAAGGAGCAGAGTAAGCTAATGTAAAGTTGTTGTTTTTTTTTTCTATTTACAAGTCTCAAATCAAATTATCGTTAAAACAATTCGAAAAGAAACCCGCAAAGAATGTAATAACCCGAGTAATAGAATAAATCTTTAATTTATAAAAGGAATGATTTGAAATAAGGATTACAATAATTTTTAAAACAATGTTCGTTACCTGTCACTTTTTGTTCCAACACCAAATTGTTGTTATAATATTTATGTGCCAACTTTATTAAACATTAAATACAAAGCGGCAGTAATTATTAGCTATAACATAAAATTGAGGTGGATATGGTGAATTTACAATATTTAAATTATTCAACGGGTAACATTAGGGTGTTATATTCATCGCCAAAGACGGTGTTGCCAAGTTTTCCTTTCGAATACCGATACGCATAGAGTCCCTAACCGTATACCCGAACTCCTATACTCCCTGAAACGACACTTAGTCCTAACTGCAAGACGCAAGAGTCTCGCAAGCTAAGTCTTGTTCTTGCGCAAATCTTGCACGGTCAGTCTTGGTCTTGGTCTTGCTAAAAAGAGGCGGTCTTGTTCTTGGTCTTGGTCTTGCAAAAATGCAAGAACAAGACCAAGACTGCAAGACCAAGACCGATTTTGGGCAACACTAATTACAGCTTTTATGGTATATTAGTCCACAGTACGGACACCGCAACTGGAGTGTTTAAAGTTGGTTGCAGGTGTCATGGGCTGCAGAAACCAGCAGCTATCATTTGTGGACTATTAGTTCGTGTTTCACTTGAAGTTAAAAAAATAATCAATGGATAGATGTAGTGTCTAGAAGGTGTGCTCCGTTATCATCCTGATTCGATTAACAAATACAATATAACACATAAAAATCGCATTAAGTGTGTGAAAAGTTTTAAATGTGTTTTATTCACCAACGCATTTCTGTGGAAACTCATATCGTAGCTTATGGCAGTTAATATCTGGAAACTTTCAGAACATCCGCAAGTCAACACTTTATTGTTGATGTTTTCCGGAGGATTTGGGTATATAAGGCGTGATAGTAAGAAGAACGGAAAGTGAATCAAAAACAATAATTAATTATATGATTGATCTAATTTTGCAAAACATATTATCTTAAAAGAGCGTAGTTAATTTTCGTCTTGCAGGCTTATGGTATAAAGATCAATTTGTAAGTTTTAAACATTTTGTTTACGCCTATTATAATGCATGTTAAAGTTCAAAGACCTATTAACTAATAATTCAAAACCCAGCTACATTTTGCGATATAAACATATTACATTACAATAATATTACTTACATATATGATTCACTTCTCGGCCTGGGGATATTAAGTTCACCGCAGTACCTCAGACTGACAAGAAAGATATTATACAGTACAATAAATATAATCCACACCGTAACCAAGCCGCAGGCATGAGAGAGAGACGCACACTGGCGCGCGCGCGCTCGCGCGCACACACACACACACACACACACACACACACACACACACACACACAAAGATACACACACGCACACAAATCTATCTAAAATCTCTTGGTTCAATTTTCGTCTGTCGCCTCTTACGACACCTAAGGAATGATATGGGGTAGTGAGTATTCTTACACCGCCATGACATGGTAAATCTTCTTCATTAGATATTATGATCCTCTCCCTTTGTAACGAGGATATTATGTGGATTCGATTAAGTGGATAAACGATGGCAATAGCAGACGTCTCACATTTTGACGCTACTCCTGTCACCGGTCTGTACATTTTGTTTTTGTCTTTAAGAAACCATAACAGTCACCTCTTACGATATCTAAGAGATGAATAACCATTACAGCCTATAAATTAAATAAAAAAAAACCCAAAGAAAAACAGCTGATGATCTTCAAACGGCTTAACACGTTCATTGCCAAAGCTAAAATTGAAGTTTTCTGCTGGTGGCCCAAAACTTTTTTTTTATGAAATAACTCTTAAGTACAGCAAGTACTATTTGCGGGTGTATTTATGGTTTTAGTATATATATTTAATATTTTATATAATATAGTTATATATCACTCGACGTCGCGTGATGGGCCATGTGGAGTGTACATTTATCCTTAGGGGCCCCATCACGCGACGTCGAGTTTTGGGATACCTTAGCTCTTTTGTGCAATTATGATTTCAAATGTATAAAATTAAATATTTTTAGTATCAATAATTTTTATTTGAATTATATAACACAAAAAATAACAAAATATCAAAGAAACATGCAACATAAAAAAAATCTTCTAAATATTTTAGACACCGAAGTCTACAATTATAATGAACAGTAACTTTAGGAAAGACTGGCAAACACGTGGAAATTTAAAATCAAGCCACCCGGTTCTGCGAGCACGTATAGTTTGATGCCATACTTGTGGCGTTTTCCTTTGATTTATTGTCGGAAAAATAGGCGGCCACGCCATAAATCCATCGACTCGTCTAAAGATATGTTAAGGCCTGGATAATATATATTAATCATTGTATTATTGAAATTGTCGACTATTTTTGACATTTATTTAGACGCCTAGCAGTGGCGTCTTCTTCTTCATCAGGGAGAGTAAAATGTATACAACGTAAAATAATAAAAAATCTGTTTCTTGACATGTATTTCGAAAAGCATAATTTATATAACCAGTGACCCTTCCAATAATCTGTCAATCGGTTCATTTTTGCAGTGCCAGTATGTAACAGAAGACCTAGAAATGTTTTGAACTCTTCAACGGTCAACTTTTTCTATCTTGAAATACGTGAATGACGATGTTCACTGGAGCTTTTCATACGTTCGGCGTATCTGTTTGTGCAATTTACGATCATTCTCAAATATTCTTCATTGAAAAATAATCAAAAATAATCTATTGGATGTGATGGCGGTTCTACATGCAGCTTTGACTCTCGAACGAATAGTATTTGTTTCATAGACGAGCAAGAAGTACTCCAGTGTGAGATTGATCCTTCGATGGCAGGTTCAGGAGACTCATGTGGCATAGCTGACTCTTCAATCGTTTCATTCAACTCCTCTCTTTCTGCAGATGAAAATCGAATTTCACTAGGTGGTAGCGGTGATATAACTCCTTCTTCATCTTCTTCCGACTCCAAGGTTGAGCTGTCTCCATCATCATCACCCAATAAAAAGTCTTCGTCTTCACCACTTCCCACAAAATCATCCTCATCAGAGTTTCCTAAAGCTTCAAGAATATCCGATTCGTGCAACAAAACACGTTTTGATTGCGCTCGCAAAGGTATCTCGTTTGATCGTTTCGTACACCATGGTACCAGGTTGATGATCACTCATTATAAATTTTGTTTTATTATAATTATTATCACTTTATACTACAAAAAAATACGTATTATTTGTTCACAACTAACTAAAAACAAACAAGAAAGCCGTCCGGCTCGAGCGGCGACGCTAAGCGAAATAACCAATTACGTAGCACTAAAACTATCGCATGATTCGGATGGCCACGTCCACTTTACGATAGCTCAGTCCTTACTCTAGAGGCCCATAAAAAACACCGTTGCGATAACGCTCCGGCCCAGGCGATACGCTTCATACAAAACTCGTCGGACACTTCACGCGACGTCGCGTGAAGGGCCAAAGGGCAATTAACGTGTTAACAGATTTTCTTGAATCAAAGCTAAGACCACACTCGATCAGTCACCTCTCAACCAAAGAAAACTAAATAGAAATCGGTTCATCTGTTTGGGCACTACGGTGCCACAGACTCACACACAGATACACACGTTAAACATATAACACCCCTCTGTTTGAGTAGGGGGTTAACTCACTTTTACTAATAAAAAACCACTGCTGAACAAAAGTCTGTCTTATTTAATTCGTTATAAGGGGAAATTTGCCATAGATTTCACGCTCAAAAGTCGGGCAGTATTTTTTTAAATTTTTTTTGACTTTAAGGAAGATGCTGTTGCCCATCTCATGTTTAACTTTCCTTTCTATATAAAAGCCGTGATCTAAATTTAAAACTACGTTATAGACAAATAATTCATGGGATGAACACCTGCCAACCTCCGAGCCAAGCTCATAGGTCGATCGTGTGCGCTTTATTGGGTAATCCATTAGGCTGACAGCTTTTCAGAAGTAATTAAGTTTCCTATTAGATTTCTCAATACGTCATAAAATGATTCCTTGCTTTTCTATTAGATTTCATTAGTTGGTGGTTGATTTAATTAGAATGTCTGTTAAGGAACTGTTAAGTGCAGAATAAAAAGTTTTTATCTTACTTGATAACTTAATCCGCTAAACATAGACGTGTTAAAGCACGGTCCTGAGCAACCTGCATCTATCGCCTTGCGTGTTTCATCGGGGCGTTCCTAGAACGAGTCTGCCACATGTAAAACTTTTACTCATCGATAATAGGTTCTTCGGCTATATGGCCAACTAATGCCTATTTAGCGTGATGATCCGTATATCAATTATTTTCAATGTTTACTTTTAATTTTAACTAAAACAACTGGTATTGCATTTACGTAAGTCATATTTACTTAACGGATGTAGTCTTGCAGAAATAACGTTTATAAGCATGTTTAAGTTCTTTTTTTATAGAATAAGGGTTTAAAGCGAGCATATAGTCCACCTGATTATAAGTGGTTACTGTAGCATATATACATCTATGTCTATCATCGATTAACAATCAACATGCAGATGCGTTGTCACCCCTGAGGACTAAGATGGAATGCCTCGTTTTCAGTAAAAAGGATCTCTGGTTCTCTACACGCAACATACAAAATACAGCAGCTTTACTTTGCTGTTTCACGATGGTATTCTGTGAGAGCGTTTTTCAGCCCCGGTCGAGCCAAGAGCCGACCTATTCATGCTAATATCATACTATAATTATTATCCTATCAGAATAGCGTCCATAAACTAGCAACGTTTCGTTGCCGATTGGTTGTATTTAACCTATGGGTAAATACCTAAGAACACACCCGATCGACCTTACAAACGAAAAAAAATTAATAAAAATCGGTTCATCCATTCACGAGCTATGATGCTACAGACAGGCACACAGATACTACTCTTTTCCTTTTTTGTTTTATTTTTTTTTAACTTTACTAGGATTTTCTTCTGCACTGTGAAGGCAGATAACAAACATAAATTGCACTAGGATATTTGTAGGCCATACAAATACTTGCTCCGCGTGGGATTAGAACCCGCGGCCCCCAGCGCTGCAACTCATTGCTAAGCCACTGCGCCACGCAGCCATCAAAGCTACAAAATAAGACTGTACCGTCTGTTTTCGTCGGAAGTTAAATTAATAATTTTAGTATTATTTGGTATCTATTTTACCATTGCATGCACTTTGACAAAACGCACAAATCATAAAAGGTGTTACATCCATTCGTCAAACGGAAAACTTATTTTTGTGATATCTAGAAATGTAGGAAAAATGAAATTATTTATTAAATACATTTGGGCACGAAGGGAACAATTGTGGACAAGAGAAATTTTTCGTGCAATGAATTTCTTTTCGTAATTGAATTGTAGCTTAGGGATAAGACGTGTTACATTATTTGAGATGATCCCTTTATCTAAGTTATACCCATAAATACACGTTACTGTTATTAAATTCTTTTTTACAATGACAATAAGCCTTTAGGTTGGTCTCTTTTAAATGTCTTTTCTGTATTTTTTTTTGTTGTGTCATTGCAGGGGGAGCTAAGGGGCCACTGCCTTGGGCGGCAGATTTTAGATGGCAGCGTAATGGGAGAGAAGAGTTAGCTGCTGCTATAGGAAAATACGCGCTGTTCTTATCGTCGATACTTATCAGTAGCAGTGGAACAGTAGAGAAGGAGCTTGCAATACTGCTTAGTTAATTATATTATTTTCTACCTACTTCAAACAGGAGGAGGTCCTCAATTCGACTGTATGTTTTTTTATGTGTGTTACCTCATAACTTTCTTCGGGGTGAACCGAATTCGATTGATTCTTTTTTATTTGAAAGCTGGTGCTTCACATGTGGTCCCATATAAATTTGATCAACGTCTGACCAATAGTTTTTGAGTTATTATTAATAATTTATTTTTAAGTCGGTTGTACAATATTAATTTATAAATTACAAGCTGTAAAAGTCCACTGCTGAACATAGTTAGGCCTCTCCTACAGATTGCCGCATAGGGACGATTTTATCATAGTTGCCATGTTTGGCATGCGGATTGGCAACCGCAGTTTTCTATTATTTTGAGTTGTTATCAAAAAGGCTGTAGCGGGTGGAAGGAAAAGGGGAGATCTCCCGCCGGGCAAGGTGTTCTGCCCGGGGAGCGGCCAGCGCTCCAGTTAGTAGTTCGGAGCTATTCTATATATGCTGCTTTAACTTCGGAACTTTGTAAGTGCGATTTAGGCTTCGATGTGTTTCGCTTGTGGCGCGACGACAGCGCCGCCACATCACCCCACTGCTCAGGCCGGAGGTCGATAGGGCAGTCTAGATGTCGACGAATTTGCAAGTGCCAGGGAATTGCCTTGTAAGTCTGCGGTGAGTCGAGAAGAAGGCAAGTAATCTGCGAGAGTGCCGTGAAGCAGGGGCGAGCAGTAAGGCTCAGAGCCGTGCCGAATACTGTAGCACAGAGAGTAGCTTGAAGGAACAGGAAGCATTATTATTCCAATGCTGCGATGAACCTTTGTAAAGCTAGGTGGCTTGCAGAATGTGAAGACTGCAGACAATATCTGCTCGGGAGCGAATTAATGGGGTACTTGAGGATGATGAAGGTTTGAAAGGTGTAGTTTCCTAAGGTTTGTTGGTTGCGTGTTCATATCACGTCGGGTGGTCACCACTGTGGAGGGTGGAAGGAAAAGGGGAGATCTCCCGCCGGGCAAGGTGTTCTGCCCGGGGAGCGGCCAGCGCTCCGATTGTTAGTTCGGAGCTATTCTATATATGCTGCTTTAACTTCGGAACTTTGTTTGTGCGATTTAGGTCTCGATGTGTTTCGCTTGTGGCGCGACGACAGCGCCGCCACAAGGCGCTGCTGCCCCTCTCCTGTTTCAGTTTCCCTCTGTCGCCTCTTACGACACCCACGGGACGTTATGGGGTAGTGGATATTCTTTCACCGCCACTACACGGTTATTTTTTAAATTATACACATACGACTAATTCTAAGTTAAATAAAACGGAGATATTTATAATAATTTCACTAGATTAGTCTAGTAAGATAGTTATATTACTATATCATGCTCGCATCATAGTTGTAATTCTAGTAAGTCAGTTATAAACCACTTTCATATAACTATATTACGGTATATAGCTATATAGGGATATAATTATATCACGGCTTTAACCATCTTACTGTGACAAATATAAAATTTATTGTTAACTCAAACACTGTGCCACCAAGGGGGTCCAGATTTGGTGATTTTCTTTTTTGGCACTAAGTCATTATATTGTATGGTGAATATGACTTATTTTCGTAATTGGCAGCCACGGAAGATCAGCGTCGAATTACTCGGTCAGTACAAAGACTACTACTAACTATTAACCATTTACCAAATTTAAAATATGCGATTGTTATAAACAAATTGTTAAATGAAATTATTTTCTTTCTTATTCCTTATTTTGGTCTATAAATATAGAATTTTATATTAAATTTACGTGGTAGAGCCATGCTGCAGCTATGTTATGGTTGTAGCACGAATGAGTCCGCCCGACTGGGGTAGGAACACGCTCTAACAGAATACCATCCCTTAAAATAGCAGCTTAATGCTGCCTGTTCTTCTTATATTGAGTGTAGAGAACCGGAGACACTTTTTACTGGTAACGAGGCATTTCATCTCAGTCCTCAGGTGTGACAACGCATCTGCATTTTGATTCTTAATGGAGGATAAATGTAGATGTCTATGGGCCACGGCATCCATTTACTGTCAGGTAGAGTGTGTACTCGTTTGTCACTCTTATAAAATTTACTACAGCGCCATCTATCGAATCCTTAAAATCCTTGCTTAATATTTTATGAGTATAATCACAATAAGTTAAGTCATTCAAGAGTTACACCAATAGTATGAGCTATATGAACATTATATGTTGGAATGATACAAGAGTAATCTTCTGGGTCCATAATCATTCATCGTGTCGTTTTTTAAAAGCAAAATTAGATTTATTGTACGCCTTTACGAGTATATTTGTATACGCAACATATCGTAATGTAGGTGTGTTGGTGAATAAAAATCATTTTTAAGCAAAATATAATAACTTTTTTCTGTTGACTATAAAAAATTTACAATATCTCAAAAACTATATTTTGACCTTTAGTTATCGTTGGGTGCTCTACGCTCAAAGTTGCTGAGAAATGTGTGCACCTAGCGCAAATTGTCCGAAAAGGTTACTCAAATTTTCAACAATAGGTTTATCAACGGATTTAATTCAGCTAGACAGTTTTCCTCAAAACTCAAGAAACTAGAGTGTACAATCATTGCGTGTTGACAGTTAACATGTTGAGACGTGGTTTTTCACTTCTGATCGATTAAGGACTAAAATTGCTGGCCATGTATATACTAGGAGTCTCTTTGCGTGATAGAATCCGCAATGAAGTATCTCACAGTAGAACCAGGGTAAATGACGTACTCGTAAGCTAACGAGTCGATAAGGTAACGTGGGGACCAAAAGTTAATAATTAAAAGTTGAAAGTAGCCTTCCTTAACTATGACACCAGGCCGTCAAATATATCAGTCTCCCCCCTACCCTCCCCCCGTGACCATAGTTGCTGTAAGTTGCCCGAAACATCGGAATAAAGAAGCTAAAATTAAACGTGATAAAATCCGATCCGTAACATTAGCTTTATTCTATCCGAGTGACGAACTGATAAGACATGCGGGAAGTCGATGGATGAAGATGGCTCAGGACCGCGCTTTGTGGCATTTATTGGGGGAGGCCTGTTTAACTGTGGACTTGTGAAGGACTTTACAATAGTAATGTGTTTTCATAAGCAGTTATTTTATGTGCATGTTACTTCCTGATTAGTATAAATCACGTTCTCTCGTTTTGTGGTTAACATGAGAGGCGTTTCTTGGTTTGATTCTTAATGGTTTCGAGGTAGAGTGACGGTCGCACTATATAACGCTTGCAGCACCAATGGGTCGATTCAACCGAGAAATAACCATGTTCTCACAGAATAATATCGTGACAGTAGAATAATGCTGTGTTTAGTATGGTCAGTATAGAGAACTGGAAACCCTTTTATTAGTAACGAGGCATTCCATCTTATTACTCAGGGGTGACAACGCATCTTCATTTTTTTATTATCTTCTTTACTGCCGGGTGAACTGTGTGCTCGCTTGTCACCCTTATACTACAAAAAAAATAGTACTGCTTCTTTTTATCATGCTCTCGTAAGATATTGTCCAGCGCATATTCAACAAGGAGCATAGTGATCCTGAACAGCGATATGTATATATATGGTCAGTATGACCGACTATCACTTTAACTAAAAAACAAAAAAGAAGAGTAAACGAAAATTTACTTTCAACAATTAGTTAAAAAATTTATTTGAAAATTATAAAACAAACATGATAATATGTATGTATACATAACATAATAATATTTATATATACAATCCACCAATAGTACTAATTAAACAGGTACCTATATAGATAAGATTTTAGTCGTATTTCTTGCAATCTTCCAATCTTCCTGGTCTTCGTATGACGCACCGTTGGTTCTTTAGTCTAATACCCACAACCAGTGATGTATGTGTAGGAGCCTTCTACGCGGGGGCGTGAGTGGCACCACATTGAATGAATACCAGAGTGAAATAGCAGCTTAACGCTGTTGTGTTTCGTATGGTGAGTGTAGAGAACTGGAAACTCTTTTTACTGGAAATGAGACTTTCCATCTTAGTCCCCACGGGTCAAAACGCTTCTGCATTTTGGTTTGTCCTACAGGATAGATGTAGATGTCTGTGGGAAACAGTATCCACTTATTATCAATTGGATTCTGTGCTCGCTTGTCACCTAAATTCCATAAAGAAACCAATACAAACCTAAAGCCGTTTAAATTTCAAAGCGGGCGGAGCCGCAGTCAAAAACTAGCTCATAAAGGTGACTTTTCTGGTTCATATAAAAATAAGTTACTATTAAAATAGCTTGAGAAACGCTTTACGTGTTTGCATGTCATGTTTAGCGGTCAATTAGAAGAAACGAAGGTTAGGTTGTTTACTTTCATGTTAGAACAAACAGTAAATCAAACAATTTAATTGTGAGACTAAAATAGTCGAGATAATGGGGGCACTAATTTAGTAATTAAGGTCAAACAGTTTGATTATTTATGTAAACGTGAAATAAAAGAAATAATAATTGTACTTTAGCTTTCCAAAAACTTTTTTAAATATTAAATCATCCATTCTAATATTATATAATGTTTACTTTCTAGGACTCCACTTCTAGGACTTCTTTTTTTATAGGATAAGTATGCCAAACGAGCGCACAGACCACCTGATGGTAAGTGGTTGCTATGGCGCATAGACATCTATCTACATCTAGCCTCGATTACGAATCAAAATGAAGATAATATAATGATAATAATAATAATATAATTTATTTTCTCACCACACTAAATTAACAATATCGATTTTTGACAAAAAAAGGCACATAGTACCTAATATGAGAGACTGATGCCTAAACTAGGCGACGAACCTGTATTTCAGGTCATCAGGTCTCCCTCCCAGTTGACAAATACAAAAGTATGTAATCTTAGAGTACATATTTTATTAACCATGATACATTATAATTCATTTACTTGTGGTAAGTATTATTATAAGTAAATATTTAACAAATTTAATTTGATGGATGTGTGTTTGTGTGTGTGTGTGTGTGTGTGTGTGTGTGTGTGTGT